CCTCAGCCACCACATAAATGGTTAACTCTACCAGATATGGGTTACGTGATAGCGAATCATTATAATGTTGTACTTGTCTGTTTAGGAATTGAATGCTGGACTTTCTTCCCTATGACATCTTCATTTTCACCGAATGTAGCAATTTACTGCATTGGTTTTGTAAACGGAAATCATTGGGTTCAGGTACTTAGCTGTTTTTAGATAATGCGATTAAACCTAATTCTTTTTCGTTATTTTTACTTAATATTGCGAGTTATTTTTTTATTTAGGTAAACATGAAAGAAGGGTTTTCATTGCCACCAGTGACAGTAGATTAGAAGAAGTTTCGTTCTCCAGCAGCAACATCTTGGATGATAGGATTTGCAGGACGTCTACAACATTGGCAACAACTTACGCCTATATTACCAACGCATTTTGAATTATAAATTATGTTACTCATTTTTAATTTTAAAACAAGAATCGTGAATTATGTTACTCGTTTTTAATTGCAAAACATGAATCGTGAATTATGTTACTCATTTTTAATTACAAAACATGAATCGTGAATTATGTTACTCATTTTTAATTGCAAAACATGAATCGTGAATTATATTAACACATAAACATAAACTAAATAGGTCAAATTAGTCTAAAAGTTAACACATGAACATAAACCAATTAGGTCAAATTTGTCTAAAGGTTAACATATAATCATAAATATAAATAAAAGTCACTGTGATAGACCAAGATGTAAAGCTTCGAACAAATCAGCAAACTGTGGGTCATCCTCTTCAGCACCAGTCTGCTGAAGATAACGATGTATCAATGAAGACATATGAGCCACTATAGGATCAGATGGTCCTGCTTCATATACAGGAACTGGCATCTCTGTTGCCGCATCAACACTGAGCGGTACCAGACGAGGATGCGAAACACGATAATACCACTCAAGATACCCAGCATCTGTCTCATATGGGATGGTGGCCGGTGCTGTCAGACGAATCACATTCTGAACGCTCTGATGGTAACTAATCCAGTCAACATCAATATCACTCGCCATTCGAGAATCAAGAGGTGGATGTGGAACATACTGCCTGTATCCAAACTGACACAAACATCTGTCAGGCATGTATGGAACAATAGTGTCACCCCACCTCAGACACCCCCTATAGAGGCATAACTCATCAAACTGATGCCATACTCTATGATTCTTGAATGGGCGCCATATGACATCAGCATGTGTCAGCTCGTCCAGAATAGGCCGCAAGTCATCCACCTTCAAGGCACCTTGTCTATAGGACCATCTCATCGCTCTTGGGAGACCCACATTATTAGCCGATATCCAGTTCTCTCCTCTTTTTCCAAGTGTAGGAAAATACTCATGAATCAAGCACTGTTACAAAATTTAAAATAATTTATTATAACATAATAAACTAGATAAATAAAATTAATATACTAGATAAAATTAATTAAAACAAAATATACTAAATTAAAATAAATACCTGTAGGAGAGTCGGATAACCACCAAGCTGCTTACAGCTGAACATGGAAGCATCTCCGAGATATCGGTAAAGAGTAACCAACGCAGCTGCTGCCCAACTGTATCCTGATAAACCATCCAAGTCTATAAACAGTGAGAGGTATCGTGTCTCGACAAGCGTAAACGTCTTGTCCGCAAAAATAGTGGAACCCACTAACATCAGCAAATAAGATCTAGTGGCATAATCCCATCGAGATGCAGCTTTGTGCTCTACGAACCAATCATATAACCACTCCAGCTTATAGTAGGAACCCCTGCACTCACGGACTTGTTGCTGTGCTATTCTCTGTGACACTCCCAAATAATCAACAGTCCACTCAACAGCAAGCGCTTCACTGATATCTTGAGGGTTCCAGAAGACTCCCCTGATGGGCAAGTGAAGCAGGCAAGATACGTCATCTAGAGTAATCGTCATCTCACCAAACGGCATGTGAAATGAAGATGTCTCTAGATGCCACCTCTCTGCAAAAGCGGAAACTAGGTTTGTGTCTATCTTTGTTAAACTGGTTCTCTGAAGTGAAGCTAGACCAGACCTAGATATCCAGCTCTCCATCTCTCTGGGTAACTGTAGTGGAACCCTCTGAGTCAACTTTATCCCATGTCCCGCCACCTTTAACTCTTTCTTCGACCCTCTCTCCTGAAAAAAATTAAAAGTAAAAATATTATAAAATTCAATATTAAAAATTCGAATTCTATTCAATATTAAATAATTTTCGTTTACTTACCTCACCGAACCATATACGGTATGCAACATGTTGTTCGTATTTAACTAACAGAGACGTATCATACGGTCCTCCGGGATATCCAACCGGCTCGGATGCTGATGCAGATGCAGATGCATCAAAATGCTCTTCTTCAACCATCCTCGATGACTCGCCCCGTCCTAGTCCACGAGGGATCCTACCATCTCTGCCTCTTGTGCGCACCACTGGAAAAAAAAATCAATATAATTAAAATTTTAAAAATAAATAAATAAATAAATATAATTAGAAAAAAAATAACAAAAAAAAAAGCAATGAACCGGAAGTCTTTCTTTGAAGACTTCCGGAGTTGAAACGCAATATTGAGTGTACCGGATGTCTTTAGGAAATACTTCCGATGAGTAAACTAAAATCTTTTCTGAACCGGAAGTCTTCAAAAAAGAGTTCTGGTGACCAACCTCAAAATTTTGTGAACCGGAAGTTTTAATGAAAGAGTTCCGGCGAAGAAGCAAAAAGAAAATACAAATCGGAAGACTTACTCTTAGTGTTCCGGTATGTATTGCAACTGAAATGTGTTCCGGAAGTATTTGTGTGAGAGTTCCGGTTTGTAGAGTTCCGAAAGTCTTAAAATGGAAAGTGAGAAATGGAAGTGAAAAATGAAAAAATGTAAGATTATAGATATTTACTAAGGGTATTTTGGTCCAAATTTTTTGAGTGTAGGAGTGTGGGTATAAGGGTAGGGGTATGAGGTAAAACTTCCCTTTAGTGGGAGTATCTTAAGTGGGTAAACTAAGATATTTTTTGTGGGTCCAAAGTGATTTGTAGGATTTAAAAAATTTAGAGTTAATTTGAGTTGTTTTTACTTTAATGATAGTTGCTTATAAAAAATCAAAGTGATTTGATTTGTAGGATTTAATATATAACCGTTATGATTTTTCAAAAATACATTACCGTTGTTTTCAAAAAATTACAAGACTTTAATAATATAAATAATAATATTATATGTTTTAAAATAAATAGCATACGTTAGCTATATAATGCCGGAAACTAAAAGTTAGTAAATTAAATGTCATGTCATAGTCATTCAAATGCAAAATTTTTATGATTATCGTTAACTATAAAAAATTTAACTATTAAAAACCTGGATTAAAGATGCTCTTAATTATATCTAAATTTTAAGAGAGAGAATGTATTAGGAAAGAATTTTTTTTATTTTAAAAACTAAACTTATAAATTTTGTAGTTTTATAATTAGACTTTTAATTTAAAAGTTGTGTAGTTTTTGAAGTAGTAAATTTTTTAGATAAAATTTTAATTTTAATTTAATTTTAAATATCAAATATATACTAAAAAAATAGATTTTAAAATAATGATTTTTGAATTCGTGAAGCAAACAATCTCAATCTATAATAAGTTAAATCACATTGTATGTGAATTTAAAATGAATTGAATTTGAATTTAAAAAAAAAAAAGTTAAATTAGAGTCGAATTTCAAACGAAGAGAATTCATGTGGAATATTAAATTTGAATATAGGTCATCAATATGTTTATCTCTTTAGGAATATTAATTTGAATATCCGTTATTCAATGAAAAAAATCATAATAATACTGTTTTAATTTGTAATTCATTACATTCAATTAATAAAGACGATTCTCCTTATGTTTTATTTCTTATATAATATATTTTTCCTATTTTGAGGTTTCATTTTAATACAATCTAGTTATTAGAAAATAGTCATTAGTATATTTTAATTAACAAAAAATGTCATTTTTTAATTTATTCTTTAAAAAAATTATATTATAATATTTGTAATTTTAAAATTTTACTTTTCATGTCTATATAAGTACAAGATCTGCCAAGGTGGTAGTTATTTTTAATTCTGACTTACATTCTTTTTTTCTCTCAAATACTTTACGGGGACATGTCATTTCTTAATTTTGTTTGAATTTATAAAATTAGATTGAAAAAAAAATTATCATTCATTTTAAAATAATAAAATATAAAATAGTGAAAAATTATATGTTCAAGCCAACACCCTGACATATTTATAATTTTGTTTTATTCTCAAAAATAATTTTTATAATTTTTCTTAAAACATTAAAAAAAAATTCAATTTCTTTTTTTAAATTGAAAAACTACTTTTAACATTTTAAAATATAAACGTATATTATTTTAAATCTAGTCGAAATTATAATTTTTTTCTTTCAAAAAATAGTATCTTACAAATAATTATTTTATAAAAAAAACTATTTAAAATAGTTTTAAAATTAAGTGATATTTTGAAATTTTAATATTAAAATAAAATATGATGAAATGATAAAATATTTAAAATAAAATTTTAAAAATAACTATTCAAAAGTAATTTTCAATTAATTTTTTTTAATAAATTTTTAAAATAAAAATATATTATATTATAAAAATCATTTTAAAAGAACTTAAACAAACGTGCCCATTAACAAACCCAAAAATAAATAAAACATATATTATTTTGATTTACTCATTAAATTAAACACTAACAAAACAAGGTAACTAAATCCAAATTCTATAATGATTTCCTGAATTTCTATCTTCCTTTTTAATAAACAAATATAATATTCATCAATACTTTTTAATGCCAAAAAATCATCTCTATTATATTTTTATATCATTCCTTTAATAAAATCCTCTATAAAACTCTAATTTTTATTCTTATTTTTCTTTATTTCCTCAAACTCTCAATCTCCAAAATTATAAGAGACAAAAACATATATTTTCAATTGGAAGAAGAACATCAATAAGAGATGGACAAGCAAATGTTAAGGAAGAACTCAATCCAACTCCGGTTTGTCTTTCTTACAACATCCATTGTTATTTGTGTCTCACTACTTTTTCTTAATCAATATTTTTTGAATACCAATGATATTAAAATCAAATTCTCTCTTCCTAACTTGAACAATGCAAGGCTTGAAGAGATAGTCATTACTACACCTTCAAATTCTTCTTCCAATCTTACTACTACTAGTAACCAAAAATATGTAACCAAAGGAGCCACAAATATTGTTAGTTCCCCTCCTTTGATTAAAGAAAAGGTTAAAGTACTTACAAGAAAAAAATTGGATCCTTGTTTAGGCAAATATATCTATATGTATGATCTTCCTAGTAGATTCAACGAGGATTTGTTGAAAAAATGTCAAACTCTTAATAGATGGGAAAATCTTTGTCCTTACTTATCGAACCTAGGTTTAGGGCTTGAGGTTATCGGGGAATCAGATAGAAGTGTTTTGTCGAACGAAAATTGGTTTGTCACATATCAATTTTCACTTGAATTAGTCTTTCACAACATCATGAAACATTATAGGTGTTTAACAAATGACTCGTCATTAGCTTCAGCCTTTTACGTACCATATTATTCTGGTTTAGATATAGGTAGATATCTCTGGGGAGGATATAATGTTTCCGTAAGAGATGAATCACCTAAAAAGTTAATACAATGGTTAGTGCAACGGCCTGAATGGAAGAAACTCAATGGTAAGGATCATTTTGTGGTTAGTGGAAGAGTTTGTTTTGATTTAAGAAGAGGAAGTGATGAAAATGAAGATTGGGGAACAAAGTTTTTGTTTTTGCCTGAAGCAAATAACATGTCGATGTTGTTGATAGAATCATGTGGTTTTTATGATAATGAATTCGCAATTCCATATCCGACTTACTTTCATCCAAGAAGTGATGAAGAGATTCTTGATTGGCAGAAGAAAGTGAGAGAAACAAAAAGGGATTATTTGTTCACATTCACGGGTGCGCCAAGGCCTAATTCAACATCGTCTATAAGAAATGAGCTTATTGAACAATGTGAATTGTCTCCAAATTGCAAACTAGCAAATTGTAACAAAAAACAAAATTGTAGTGATCCGGTTGATGTTATGGATGTTTTTATGAATTCGGTTTTTTGCTTACAACCTCCCGGCGATACATATACTCGAAGATCAACTTTTGATTCGATTTTGGCGGGTTGCATTCCGGTTTTCTTTCATCCTCAATCAGCATACAATCAATATCTATGGCATTTTCCTAACAACAGTTCTAGTTATTCTATCTTCATACCTGAAATTGATGTGAAAGAGAAGAGAGTGAAGATTGATATGAAATTGCTTAATGTTTCAACAAATGAAGTGTTGGCTATGAGAGAAGAGGTTATAAAATTGATTCCAAAAGTTATTTATCGCTATCCAAGTTCAAGATTAAAGACACATGAAGATGCTTTTGATGTAGCTATTAAGGGAGTTCTTGGAAGAATTGAAGCAATGAGAAGAGAGATTACAAATTCTTCTAACGTGACAATTGTTTCTGTTTGAGGATTATTATTATCTTTTTTTTTTAATTTAATTCTTTTTGAGATTAAAAACATTCATTTTATTTCAATTAATAATAATTAGAAAATTCTTAGAGTCCGTTCTTGTGTGATTGCATGTATATCATTGCCGCTAAAATATTTTGTGGTAGTAGGGCTTTACCTCAAATCAATTGCATGCTGTGGAAAATTATGCATATTATATTAATATATCATGAATTAAATTTTGAATTTGATTGAAACGACTGTAATTTACACGGTCAATTAATTATAGATGTTAAATATTAAAAAGATTTAACTTTTATTTAAATCATCAAAATAGATGATGGTAATGAATGGATATTAGAAAATATTTTACACCGATAATATATAATAATTAATCTCTTTACTTTTTAGTTGAAACAATTGCGTATGAATAAAGGTAGGTTCATCCTTGACTATGGCCATACCATTTTTTTTTCATATATATATATATATATATATATATATATATATATATATATATATATATATATATATATATATATATATATATATATATATATATATATATATATATATATATATATATATATATATATATATAGGGGTGGGAATCATATTATTTTAAGAGTAAAATTTTTTAACTTATATATATATATATACTTGCAATCAAATACCTTGAATTTGTATTTCTGTAAAATTATATAATTGAAAATATTTAAATTAAATTAAATTTTGTATTTAATATCATATCTTAAATAATTTAAAGAAAATAAGTAATTTTGAAATAAAAAACTACATATTTAAGTTGAAAACAATGATTTAATTTTTGTATTTATGATTTGTATCTCTGTTTTAGTTTTATGATATATATATATATATATATATATATATATATATATATATATATATATATATATATATATATATATATATATATATATATATATATATATATATATATATATATATATATATATATATATATATATATATATATATATATATATATATATATATATGGATTTTTTTTTACTTTAAATAGAATTTTTATTTCTGTAAAGTTATATAATTGGAAATACATAAATTAAAATTTCTTATGTAATCTCATATCTTAATTATTTTTTAAGAAAATAAGTAACTTTTGAAAAAAAAAAAAGAGAAGCAAATATGTAAGTTGAAAAAAATTATTTAAAAGAATCTACTTAATATAAATTTTATTTTTATTTTTTTATTTATGATTTGTATTAGGGATGGAAAAACGGGTCGTAGTTCGTCGGGCCGATCTGGGAACCCTATCAAAATTAGCGAGTTGAAATTTTTTAGTCGTCTACTTGTTCAGTCCGTCCTACTTTAAACCCGCTTCATCTTAAGCCTGCTAAATAAAAGGTCAGATTGTCCTGCCAACTCGCCAATTTAGTTATCAAACACTTAAAATATTTATTTTGGTTGATTGAAGTTTAATATTCAAACTATGGTTTTAAAATAAAAAGTAACTGAAAAATCTAATTGAAATTTAAAAATAAACCTATTAATTTATCAAAAAAATAAAAAATAAGTGAGCAAAATTTTTAAGTATAATTTTAATTGACGGCTTGTTTGCTCTAACTTTTTTGGCGGGTTTAAGATAGGGCAGGACGGCGGTCCATTTTATCACCGCTAATTTGTATCGTTTTCATTTGTGTTTTAATTTTATGATTAATAAATTGTTTTGTTGGAATTTAAATGTAAAGATATTATACCAACAATGAATTGATAAAATAAATAATATATAATTTCATTAAGTCACGTTAAGTAAACTCAATTGATAGTTGCACAGGTAGAACAGAGTCACTCTTTAAGTTTGTTTGATTTAAAAGAGGGGGATGGATGGAGAGGGAGAAGTTTTAATCAAATATATGTTTGATTTATAAAAAAAGAGGTTTTAAAACTAATTTATCTTTTTACCCTTAAAATATTATAACATATGCTAAATAAATTTTAAAAAAATGATATTCACCAAAAAGAATTGTTAATTCATAAAAAACATATATAATCAAAAACAAAATATTTTATATTTAAAATACTCTAAAATATCTTAAAATAAAAATAAAATATTGATAAATTTCTTAAAATCACATTATATGATCAATGATCATATGGACCATTTTCTTATCTTGATAATCAATTTAATCCTACAAAATATTCATAAAATTAAATTCTGCATAATATTTAAATCATACTACAATTATATATTGATATGTAATACAATATAACAACTTATAAAACAATTAAGTTATTACAACAAAAAAATATTAAATAAAAATGAATAAAATAAAACACATAAAGAAAATTGAATCATAATAATAAAAATAATGGAGTTGCCGTTAAAAATATGGAGGAATTCTAATAAGGTGACAAAAATTAAGGTATAATATTAATAAAGACAATTTAAAATTTTATTAAATAAAAGTGAGGGTAACTTTGTTAATATAATAAAAATAGATTCAATCATAACACATCTCCGCCCCCTCTGAAAACCCATAATTTGGAGAGAAAGAAAAAATATTTTAAGAGAGATTCTGATTACCTTCAATCCTTCCCCTCCCCCCAAAATCACATATAAAAACTCTATGATATTGAAATTTGAGTCCGCTCAATATTATAGTCTTGCACCCTTATCTTATAGTGCATCTTTGCTTTGCTTTTTTTTTCTTGGTATTAAAAATTTAGCCACCATTTGAATGTCTTACTGACACATAATTTATTAGGAACAGTAAACTAGAAGAGTTTAGATTAACAAACTCCTTCTTATTACTTTTTTTTCTTTAATTTATTAGTGTTATTATTAAAAATAAAATAAAATATATATTTTTTTATTAAAGTTAAAATATATTTTAAAAAATTGATATACAAAAAGGTGAAAGATTTAAGACAAAAACAACTCAAAAGTATTTAAGGAAATATAAAGGGAACTTTTAAAGAAATTTGACTTGTCAAATTATAAACCAACTAAGATTCCAATTCATCCAATGCCCCCTTAAGCAGAAGCTCTTTTCATCCACTTACACTTGTACCGTCGTTGACGCAGTTCAACGAGACACCTCCTAACCACCACCTGTGAGGAGTACTTTCAATACAAGTGAGTCGGTCCTTCACTCGAACCAAAGGCTCGTGATACCATTGTTGGGAAAGCTTTTCACTAGAGAGTATTGAACATTGTGCAATAAGGATGCCACATCCAACATCAACCTGCTCATATATTTTGACATGCAACACATATAGTAATTAAAGAACACCACATAAGTCTGAACTTCAATTATGTTAAGCAGTGTAAACATCGGGACTGAATAATTAAACTCTTCCAACATGATTATAACAAATGTAGTTATAAGGAAATTATCAACAAGAGAGATTCACATAACAATATCCATCAACATAAAATTATTCAACCACAGAGGTATACATATGATTTCCTCCTAACATAAACAAAATAAACATCGACACCTCAGTGTTACATATCAGAGCAGACACCGACTCGATAAAAGTATAAAGGAGAGTATCTTCTTCTACTAACATCTAGACATTCACTGCAGATCACATGCGTGTTACCTACATGGAGACAATATTCAAACAGAAAGGGTGAGGTATCATAATAATATAAAGGAAAGCATGATAAACAATATGCATTAGGTTAACCCATGTAATATCACCCAACATCAGCACCAGATTATACAAGCATAAGAATAACACAACAACAATGCAACAAAATATCTCATATTAATCAACCAACAACATCATCACTACTTATCCACCAACCAACATAGAATCACATGATAACAAATCTAATAATCACAACAATACTACATATTAGCAACATAGAAACCTAGTTAATATATAATGAAATGAGACTCACAACCTGACTCAATACTTATGCATGTGGTATCAATTTTCGTGAACATTCGGGTTCACCATTCTGATCCCCACCTCCTAGGATCAGAATCACTCACTGACCCATCACCTCGAGAATCAGCTACTGGCCCAATCCACACAATGGAATTTTAGGTTCACCAACCACAGACCATTATCCACAAATGTATGCAATGCAACTATTTATGCATACAACCACTACAACTTCATTGTGCACAATAACCCACCACCATGGTTATTATACACCATCCAAATTGACCAACAAGCATAAAATACATTTCATACAATATGGATATATATCTTTTATGCAATCAAAACAACATTACTAAAACATCTCCATATTACCATCATTAACATCGCAACAACATCTTTGTAACAACATTTAACATTCGTCACTTACAACAAGACTTCTTAGCGTATACAACAAGTAATAATCACATTTCTAAACATATTAAACATAGAAATACTAGGAAAACGATTCACCTATTTATACCGTGTTAAAGCTCTATTTATTAGCTTTCCAACACTTTAAACGGTTCGTCATTTGGATATACGATTAAAAAGTTATGATCAAAACCGTATTTAACATTTTGGCAAAAATCTGAGTGCATGTGTCGACGCATGGGTGTTTTAGGTCGACACATACTATCCTAATTTACAAAGAATTTGTTTATGGAAGCTACGGACTGACCCGTAAGGCTTGGAGGTCGACGCATACTGTTCCGATTTCTCAAAATTCACTTTTAAAAAACCCCTTCACCCTAGTCTATCATGCTAGAACTTATGCTACAAATTTCTATCATCATAGACCCAATTTTCTGCTATTTTAACATTTTAAAAATCAATCATTTCCTTGTTTTACTCATAGATTAACATCATATAATCATCAATCTCCTATCTATGATTCAAACCCTCACAACTCAACATTGAAGGAAAACATATCAACAACCCAAAATAGAATTGTCACCCATATAGGCAAACGACATTCATCATATAATAAATATATTACAACACTATCATCATCCACTATTTCACAACATTCATAGCATCATCGAAAACACATAATTTATCAATTTAGAGAAATCAAGATTCATAGCATAGAAGAACACAACA